TTCCATTCAGATGGAGGAAGCCACAACCAGGATTCGAACCCAGTCCCCTGACCCCATTCTTTCTCTGTGTGGCTGCCTCAGTGTCTCTGGATCACCATGCCCAGTTTTTCAAGGCTCCTATCCAAGGTCGATCCACTGCTGTCTCCCTGGGCATGAAGGAGGCCTTGGGAAAAGCTCCCATGATCACATGAGGCCCTAGGGGGTGGCTGGGACTGAATCCCATCCTCTCTCTGGAGGTTAGGAAGCTGAGATGGCCAGACAGCTGGATACCATGCCTGACCAAGATGACATCCAGCCACCTGCCCTCAGTACATCAGCTGGGACAGACTGTGTCCTTAGCCTGACCCGGTGCCGAGTACTTGAAATACAAAGACAGGCAGGATTGGGTGGGGAGGTGGCAAGACAACTACGCGGCTCTCAGGCAGCTCGGAGGCTATGAGAGGCCCAGTCGGACTGGCTTCAAATCCTGCTCCTGATATTTGCTAGCTGGGTGACTGAACAAGTCACTGCATTCCTGCGCCTCTGTTTCCTTATCTGTAAAGGGAGCAAATTACAATACCCACTGGACAGGGTGTTACGAAGATTAAATGAGGTGATACCAGAAAAGCGCTTAGTACAGCCTCAGGCTTTAGGCTAGAGCTCAGGAAGTATTGGTGGAGTCCCAAACCCTGCTGAGACGGGGTCCCTCCCTCCCCTTTGCTCTGCGGTCTAGTGCTCAACAGTGATAAAAAAGGGAAGGTGGATGAGCATGCATGTGCGCGCACACAGACTCACACACACACTCACATGCTATTTACACAAATGTTCTCTACAACTAGAAAGCAATTCTAAGCAGGTTTTTCTGTGGGGTGGGACTATTAAGGAACTTTAACTTTTACATTATAGAGCTCTGTTTATTATGTTAACTCTATAATATGGGGGAAAAGATATTTAAGAATTGTTGTGCGCTACTCTGTGCCAACCTCAGGCACTTTTGACACAGCATCCGTCGCCTTGACAACATCTCTCACCCATGTTCCAGATGAACAGGTGGAAACCTAGAGAAGTGAAGTGACCTGACCAAGGACACACAGCTTCTCAGTGATGATGCCAGGATCTGACCCCAGTATTGGAGTCTGGACAGTACAAAGCAATTCTGCTTGGCAGGTCCGGGAAAGCTTCACGGGGCAAGTGTTATCTGAGCCGAGTCTGGACAGCTGAGTAGGACTTCTTCAGGCCTGGGTTCTCAACCAGGGGTGATTTCCACCCCAGGGGACACGTGATGAAGACTGGAGACATTTTTGGTCATCACAGCTTGTGGGGAGGGGTGCTACTGGCATCTAGTAGGTAAGGAGAGGCCGAGGATGCTGCTGGACATACAGTGCACAGGACTGCCTTGCACAACAAGGACTTGTCTGATCCTAAATGTCAACAGTGCGGAGATGATGTAATATCCTGGAGCTGTTATTGTTTATTAAGTGCTTACAATGTACCAAGTACAGTACTAAGTTCTTGCAGATGTCATCCAGTTTAATCCAACACCATTACTCCATGCTGTCAATGAGGAATGTGAGGTTCAGAGATGATAAGTAACTTTCCTAAGATCACACAGCCAGAAAATGTGTTCTGCCTGAACACAAAGCCAGATCTCTGAACCTTCCTGGTTTGCTGCCTCCGGGATTTATAATAAATGTAAAAGCCCCAGACCAACTGTTAGGCGGGGTGTGTGGGGATCTCGGACTGAGCCTAGGCCCAGCCTCCTCTGGCCTTGAGGCCTTGTGCAAGCACCACCTCTCTGCCCCTGCCTGCCATTCCCATCTGTCAAGTGAAGGTTGCACCAGGCGATCTCCAAGGCCCTGCCAGCTCTAAGTCTGTTGTCTTTAGGAGAGGGGCCCAATCCCGGGCCCCAGGAGCCTGCAGCTGGGAGAGGAAGGCGTGTGATGGACAGGCTCAGCCTCATTCCTAGTGCATAAAGAGCTAGTAACTGAACCCTGCTTCCCCACCAGGAGAGAGATGCAGGTAGGGGTTGGAGTGGCGTGAACCTCACCCAGGAGCTTACCCCTCCAGTGGGGAGGCATGTTTCTCTGCCACCTTCTTGCCAAGCCCAAGGAGGCACCAAAGCCAGGCCTCCTCAGGCAAGAGAGGCAGGTCTTGGCATTCCCCCAGCTGGGCATACGAGTTCTCACAGGTAGGAGAAAGAACGGGAGTGTGTGCTGACCCAGCTCCCACTATGTGCCAAGAATCTCTAATAGTAGGTTCATCTCAGGTCAGCCTCATGAAAATGCTGGGAGAAATGAATCATCCTGACCCCAGTTTGCAGAAGGGAGCATCAAGGCTTACATGGAGTGACTTGGCTGAGTTGCACAGATGGTGCTGAAGGAAGGTTTGGAATGCAAGTGCTGACCCAGGGCAACACTCTAGAAGGTAAGTGAGTGCAGTCCTGCCTGTCTTTTCACCCAAGAATGAAAATGTTTCAATAACATTTGGATGTTCAACTTCTCCTGTATTCGTCAGGACACAGAATGGACTACAAAAAAACCTAAAGACAGTAATTCTGATTTTCTGGTTTACCAAAAGGGTTCTGAGGGCAGAGGCCTCTCCAACTAGAAAGTCAGACAGGGAAAGGAAGGGATGAGAGGCAGGGGAGGGATCTGGCCCAGGTCAGACTTTGCTTTCTGGCCCAGATCTCTCATTGTCTAGCAGTGTGGCTTTGGGTAAGTCACATCACCTGTCTGGACCTCAGTCTCCACATCTATATAATGAAGAGGTTGGACAGATGGTTTCAGACAGACTCCCTTCAAACTCTTACAACCTGCACCCAGTCCTGTCCAAGGTTCTTTCTTCTTCCCAGTTTATGTGACTTCACAGACAGGCAGATGGGGACACCAGTGCTTAGGACAAGGAACTCTGGAGGTTGGGGGCCAATACTAGCCTTGTGCAAGCTCCCAGAATTCCCAGCTCTTGCTCTCCATCCTCAAAGAGCCCAACTGGAAGGGATGAAAGGGACAGGGAGGGGGTAATGGTGAATATGAGCCACTTCTCCTGGGGCCAACGCTCATCTCCATGAGTATCTGCTAGGTGCAGGCTGACTTGTAGGGACTCATGTATAAGGGGGTGGGGGAACCCCCTACAACATGGGGCAAAGTAGTTATTTATCTCATGCATTAGCATCTTGAGGGCCAGAGAGCTCCCTCTCTCCCAAGTTAGCCCACTGCATTTCCAGAAAATGTTTGCATCAAAAACTTTCTGCTTGCAAAGGCTCCATCAGCTCTGGTCAAGGTTGGTCATTCATTCCTTCACCCTTTACTGATATGTACTGTTGGCCAGGCCTTGTGCCAGGCTTTGGGGCCATAGATATGATGAATAAGAGACTGTCCCTGTTCTTGGGGAACTGTGTGCTAGCCTGGTATGCCAAGGCCAGAGACATGAGGCTGCTGGATTTAAATGGTTTAGCTTGAGAAAAAGATTCCAGGCTTCAATAAGCTTGGGAACCATTTTATTAAATACAGTAAAATGAGTTTCTTTGTTATAAGGTTTCTCCAAGCCTTTAATATGCAAATGTACAGAGGATCCTTCAAGGGGTGTATAGAGAATACACTATATTTCCCAAATATAGCTAATCTGGAACACTACTTTTTTAAAAAAATTATGTTTATTTTTTTTATTCCTCATCCAAAGATACTTTTCTATTTATCATCAGATAGAGTGGGAGGGAGGGAGGGAGAGAGACAGAGAGAAACATTGATGTGATAGAGCCACATTGATGGGATGCCTCCCGCACGACCCCAACCAGGGCCAGTGAGGAATCGCAAGCGAGGTACGTGCCCTTGACTTGGAATCGAACCCGCGACTCATTGGTCCACGGGCTGACGCTCTAATTGCTGATCCAAACTGGCCAGGGCTGGAACACTACTTTTTAAAGCATCATACTTATTAACCGAGAACATTAGGGGAAATGCAGCTCTAATGCTAGTTGTTTTGGCCAGTGGAGCTTGGGGAAGGCTTACATAGAGAGAATGTTTGAGCAGGGCTTTGAGAACTAAGTAGGAGTTAGTGAAGATGGGAAGGTTTAAGGGAGACCATTACAGTCCTAGGCTGATTATGCTCAGGTTACCGTGCATGTACTGGTTCATTTAGTCCTCAAAGGTCCTGATGTGGGTGACAGAGCCAAAGAGGTTATCAAAAGCCTCTGGAGACTCCTACAGGTCCACACCCTACCTCTCAAATCACTTCACCTCAGGGCCTCATTCTCCAAATCTTGAGTCCTCAAGTCCTGTCCCCACTCTCAACCTGAGGCTCTATTCTGTTCTAAACCCAAATGGTTCTTACAGTATCTGGACTGAATCACAGCCTTAACCCCTCACACACCTCGGCCTGGCCCTTGGTGCCCAAACCCTCCCTCTCAGCACTTTGCTGACCCTATCTTAAACCCCCTCTTAGACTTAGAGCCCTGACCTGCCTAGTTTGGATACTGCCCCATTGGTCCTGACTGAGGTCTGTCCCATCGGGCCCCCACACCTGTGCTCAGCTTCTCCATATAATCCTGACCCATCCTGAGAGGCAGTTCCATCCCCTGTCTAGCCCTGAGTGTGTTCCCATTCTCATCTGTCTGTCCCCCGTTCTGTCCTGAACCATTCTTATGTGGGCCCAGTCTCCAGGTCCAGCCCCCATGAAACTTGACAGTGGCCCTACTCTTGCCCAGATCGGATTCAGCCTATCCCCAACCCTGGCCCAGCCTGTAGTTGGCCCAGTTTTTATCTCATTTGTTCCTCCCCAACTCCATTGGTGACCTCTCCCCAACCACCGACCTGCCCCAACTTCAGTCAAGATCAGACCCCGCCCAACACCCCGCCTCTCTCCGCAGCCCGGCCCAGGCCCCGCCCCGTGCCAATTCTGATAGGGCCATGACCCTGCCGGCGGCCCCGCCCCGTGACAATTCTGACTGGGCCCGGCCCTCGGTCCAGCCCTGACCCCGCCCCCAGGGCGCCCCGCCTCTGTCCCCGGCCCTCCAACCTGCTCACCTGCAACTCTTCGAAGGCATCGTCAATGCCGGTGACTTGGTGCTGCTCGTGCAGCGCCGGCTCGTCGCAGAAGAAGCAGAGCAGTGCGCGGTCTGTGAGGCAGAAGAGCTTGACCTTGTCGTGCGCCTGGCAGGGTCGCGCGGCGCGGCGCGCACTGAGGATGGCGTCCAGCGGGAAGGCGCTGTAGCGCTCCACGATGTTGGCCAGCTTGAGGCTGGGTGCGAACGCGGGCTCGGCGAACGTTCGCCGGCACTCGGGGCAGTCGCGGGCGCCCTGCGCCTCCTGCCTCACCCAGTGCTCGGTGATGCAGCGGCGGCAGAAGTAGTGCTCGCAGCCCAGGCTCACCGGGTCTTGGTAGATGCTCAGACAGATGGAGCAGAGCAGCTCGTCCTTGAGGCTGCACGCCATGGCGCCGGGGGCGGCGGAGACGGGGGCCTGGGATGCAGGGGGCTGCCGGGGAGCGCGGCGTGGTCGGGGACAGCACCGAGGCACGAGTGCGGGGAGCAGGCCAGGAGAGGGAGGAGTAGGCGTTACAGAAGGAAGGAGGGCTGTTCGGGAGGCGGGTAACGCGAGGAAAGGGTGTGGAGTAGAGACTACCCGAGATGCGAGCCTAGGAAGGTGGTCTCGAGGCAGTGGGTGACCTGGAGCGATGCGTGCTGGAGGGAAGGGGCCATGGGTGTCTGAAGGGAGGGACTCCTGGCAAGAAGGTTCTAGGGTAAGGGACAGTCCGAAGGGATGGGTGATGGGAGAAGGGGATCCTGGAGGGGACGGAGGTCTTGGGGGGGTTGGAATCTCGGGATGGGGGCGATGGGGGAGGGGGAGAAGCTGAGGATAGGGAATTCTGGGGGAGGGAGAAGCCAAGCGGAGCCGCTCCACGGCTGTGCTTGGCAGAGGGAAAGGAGGAGTGAGAGCACGTTCAGCAGCCGGATCCCGGCCCCGAGACCCAACCCGGCGCGTATCCTTACCCCGCCGGCTCAGCGACCACTGCTCTGGTCCCAGCGCAGCCTCTCAACCCGGAACCAGCCGAGCCGGAGCGGCCGACAGTCGAGACTCTCTCCCCGCCCCGGCGGGCTGGACCCAGGCGACTCCGCCCTCCCGGCGGGCGGGGGAGGGAAGGGGCGGGGCCTAGCCTCCAGCCGGTGGACCCCCTCACCACCCCCACCATTCTCCTGCCCCAGATGGAGCGAAACCCAGCTGTTCCTTCAGGGTTTGCACTTGGAACAATATCCAGGTCTTGCTTAGGGTCCCTGCGAGAATGAGGGCAGGGGACAGCTGATTTGAGAGCCTGAGTAAAGGAGGAACATCTTTTTGGATCATCAATTTGAAGATTTGGGAAAAACGATATCTTGTATTAAAACAAACAAGGATGTGTGTGTGTAATCTGCATAGAATACAACTTTTGCATAATATATAAAGATAAAACTCGAGAAATACCCTGCTCGCTTAGAGCAAGTTCGAGACCCTCACATTCCTAAGCCCTGGGGTCCCATTTCCTTTTTCCTTTCTTAAGGAGAGCTTAGGGAAGAGGTTTGGAAAGTCCTGGCCTTGGAATGTCTGATCCAAGGAGTTGCCTCCATTCAGCAAACATTTCTGGAGTGCCATCTTTGTGTGAGCATGTGTGTGGAGCAGGAGAAAGAGTAATAGGAGACCTTGTCTTGTATGCCAGGTGGAGAGGTATGCTAGGCAGAAGGGACAGTGTGTGCAAACGCGTAGAGGCGTGAAAGGGGAAGGCACCTTTGGGGGAAGTGCAAGTTGTTCTGTACTATTGGGGGTAGGGGCTTGGGTGAGGTGGGGGGTGTTGAGGGTCATGGTAAAGGATTTCCTGAAGGCAGGGGCTTTGAGCAGGGGAATGACCTGGTCTGATGTGGATTTCAGGAAGTCAAGAAGATGCTCATTATACCATCAGCAAGATGAAGGCAGAGGTCCTTTCTGATGTGTCTGCATATATGCAGTGCTCCCTACACAGTAAAGATGTGGAGCTGAATAACAGCAGCAAAGATGTGGATTGCAGAAGGAGAACCTGGGCACCAGTTAGATCACTGTCGTCAGAGCGCGGGTAGGACATGAGACCTGCACTGGGACCGTGGCATGGGTAAGGGGAGAACACTAGTGTACTGAAAGTATAGACACTGTGAATTTGTAATAGATTGAATATGGGGTGAGAGAGGAGGCATTGAAGGTGGCTCCCCAGCTTGATTCCTCCAGCAATGTCTTCACTGGAATTAAACTTTATTAAGGTACTATGTAAGAAACAGCTTGAAGTTTACTCCTCTGCTGTTTATGTGTCCTTCATCCATCAACACCATGACCTGGTCCCATGTCTGTCATTGACAGAAACAAGTTGGTTGCTCATGCAGCAGTGACTCCTCAACTTTTCCTTACAGTCGGTGCCCTGATTTTGTTCAGGTGGTTCCTTTCCCCATGTGACCAAGGGAAGGCTGACCCCAGCCCTGTCCAGGAGTGAGTCCCGTTTGGTTCAAGTCCATTGTGGTGGCCACATACCTCTTGCCAGTGATGATTTGGGCTTGGACACAGTATGGCCTGAAAAACTAGAGGGGGAGCCTATAGTGGGGAGAGAGCTTCTGGAAAGGATCACTTCATGTTAAAAGATCTGTCTACCCTCTTTACTGGGTGTGGATGTCATTGGTAGTGATGCTTGGAATGGCAGCAGCCATCTCGTCCCCAGTCTGAGGATGCAGCCAATACCTGACTGAGTCCAAGAGAGAGCCGGAGAAGGGGAGCCGGTGCTCTGACGCAGAGCCTAGACTTGGACATGTGAGGTCATCCATGCGATTGCTTAAGCAAGTTTAATAGACTGTGCTGTCACTTGACAACCCAAAGAATCCCAAATGATACACTGATATGCATCCCCATTTTTTCTTGTAAGGAGGGCATGGTCTAAATTACTGAATTATTTGAAGTGAAATTTGAAAATTTCATTTATTCAACATGTAATCCATCTTGATCTTCTATAGCAACAAAGTAGCTGGAAAAATAGCTGGTCAGCTAGAGACCCCACTTTTCAGCTGCTCTTGCAGCTGAGTGTGGCGTCAGTGGGATGTAAATAAAATAGTCCTTAAAGGATCAGGCTTTGGCTCTTTCACGCTCTGTTTCCTCGTCCCTTACATTGGAACACAGATGTGCCAGGGACCCGGCTTCAATAATGTTTGAAAGGGGACAAAGGAACCTGGGGCGGGTTTTTTGGTTTTTTTTGTTTTTTAATCCTCACCCGAGGACATTTTTCCATTTCTGCTCAGGCAGGGTGGGAGGGAGAGAGAGGAAGAGAGAAACATCGACATGAAAGGGACACATCGAGTGGCTGCCTCCCACACAACCCCAACTGGGATCAGGGACAAACTGCAACCGAGGTACATGCCCTTAGCAGGAACCAACCCGGGTCTCTCTGGACCGAGGGCCCATGCTCTAACTGCTGAGCAAAACTGGCCAGGGAGGAACCTGGGTTCTTGAATGAGTATATGGAGTGGAGCCAACTACCAATGTGGGCTAGAGTGTGAGAAATAAACTTCCATTTTCTTTCTTTTTTTTCTTTTAATCATCACCCCAGGATATTTTTCCATTTATCTTCAGATAGAGTGGGAGGGGGAGACAGAGAGAAACATGGATGTGAGAGAGACACATCAATTGGTTGCCCCCAACCAGGGCGGGGGATGAACCACAATCAAGGTATGTGCCCTTGGCTGGAATTGACCCTGGGACTCCTTGGTCCGTGGGCCGACACTCTAACCGCTGAGCCAAACCGTCTACGACACTCCAAGATATTTTTCCATTAATCTTCAGATAGAACGAGAGAGAGAGAGAGAGAGAGAGAGAGAGAGAGAGAGAGAGACATTGATATGAGAGAGACACAGCGATTGGCTGTCTCTCGCACAACCCCAACCAGGCCTGGGGATCGAACCGCAACCGAGGTACATGCCCTTGACTGGAATCGAACCTGCGACTTTATGGTCTCCCGACCAATGCTGTAACCGCTGAGCCAAACCGTCCAGGGCTAAACTTCCATTTTCTGTAAGACATTGTATTTGGGGTCTTTGTTGCAGCAGTTGACATTCCCAGTGCTATTCTATATCTGTTTTGAGAAGAGGCTCTGGTACTATTTAATGCTATTGTCTAAAACCTTACAGTAGGTAAGTTCCTCTTAGTATCTAGCTCCAATCTCTTCCCAGGTGTATGCAATATGGTTGCCTCTTTGACCTTTCACGGCACTTTCCAGCTTTAGTCTTTTCACCCTTCGAGCTGTTCTTCTCCTGATCTTGAGCCGTCTCCATTGTTAACAAACAAACAAACAAAAACAGGCCCAAAATGGCATCACTCGTGCTAAAAGCTTATGATACCAAACTTAGATTTTATACCTGATCTAACTGCAGTTTCACCCTTTCCCAGAAGCAGAATCTTATTCAATCTGTCTGGAATTTTCTGGTCAAGCACCAGTAAGGCAATCTGTCTCATAACCCTTTCCATCCCTCTTAGAAAGAGGAGGCAATGACATAATAACCCTTTCCCTTCTCTTCCAACAAAGAAAAGATGTCCAGGTCCCCAAATAATCCTTTTTCTTTCACGAAGAAAAACAAATCCCCCATGCCCCTCCCTTCTTTCTACAAAATCCTCGGAGCACCCTTCCAGTTGCTGGGTGGGATGCTGTCCTATTCGTGAATCATTTAATAAAGCCAATGAGATGCTCAAATGTACTCAGTTGAATTGTGTTTTTAACACAGTCAAGATGCACTCAAACAGTTGGTTATATTGAAGTTTGTCAAGTTATTGTTCTTTTGGGATCTCTGTTTCTCCAACCTGACGCGGTTGAGGGGTCTAAGACTTGGAGATCCCGACTGAGGTACATGCCACCTGCTTCCATTCACACTCTAAAAAATTACACCAGGAATTTTTTTTTGAAAAACAATCCAAGAGATATTAGTGAATAAAAAACCAAAACAAAAATCAAAAAACAATAATAAAAGGAAGACCCCCCCACACACACACCCAGTCACAAACACACACAGTCATGCACATGTGCATGATACACATAGCAAAAATCTATAGAACTCTAGCAATTTTAAATGTGTTTATCTATAGGCTAGGATTATTAGGGGGGACTGTATATCTCTGTTTATTATGCAATTTTATAATCAGAAAAAAAAGACACAATGGAGTTTCATTTATTCATGGATTTCATATTTGCAAATCCCCCTACTCCTAAAATTTACTTGTAATCCCCCAAATCAAGAGTAGACGTGCTTTCAGAGTCATGTGTGGACACGCGCAAGCACAGAGTGGTGAAAATTTTGAGTTGCCCAACATCCATGTTCCCAGCTGAGGTCGGACAGGGTGGCCTCTGCCCTCTTGTCTCAGCTCTTTGATTGTAAACAAATACCCTTTTTGTGGTCTATTCACTGTCATGCTTTTTTTCATTTTTGTGTTTTTCTGGTTGGTGACTTTGCTATTTAAAATAGCCCTCAGCCCTGGCCAGTTTAGCTCAGCAGTTAAGAGTGTCGGCCTCTTGGGCTGAAGGATCTCGGGTTTGATTTCCGGTCAAGGACACATACCTGGGTTGCAGGTTTGATCCCCAGCCCTGGTTGGGGTTGTGCGGGAGACAACCAATCGATGTGTCTCTCTCATATCGATGTTCTCTCTCTCACCCTGCCATTTCATCTAAAAA